AACAAATGATAAAATACAATGGGAAACATTGCATGCAGAACTGTCTGAAATATTTTCAGTCGGTCGTAAAATAAATTGCAGCCTAAAATTTATTGATAGACGTATTTCTGTCAAGCAAAAATCTGTTAGTTTTGCATGATTTTCATTTAAATAGTTTTTTTGTTTTTTTCTGTAGAGCTTTTCGACTATTATGAATTAAATTCATGTTTTTTCTCTTGCCTGATAAAGAGGCTACTGTATGCGAAATATTTGTAGTGGAATCGATAAATAGTTTGCAGCCAAAACATGAGTTTTTTTCTGTTATCATAGTGGAGTTACTCTACGGAAATCAATAAGAAGTAGGCGAGATAGGTTGGTAGGACACCTTCTCAGGCATGAAGGTCTAGTCAGAGACATATTAGAGGCATAAACAGGAGTTAGGAGGGGAAGAGGTAGAACTGAATTAGATTATTGTTCGCAAATAAGATAATGGAGTTACAAGACTAAAAGCTTTATCTATTCATTTTCTTAACAATTTTCTTTTACAACAAGGAATGTTTTACTTTTACAGGATTATTAGCGTTATTTATGCACAAGTGTGGCATTTGCATTATACTTATACATACATGATTAACAAGGTTAGTGCCAATTCCTGAACTTTTGTAGAGAAAACTAGAAGAACTTTGAAGTAATAAAAAATTTAGATGTAATTGTTGCCTATAGTTGGGCACCAAACTAATTTCACCTTTTAGACTAAAGTCGAAAACTTTATTGCTACATAGGCACATAAACATGCATTTTTAATCCTGTTTTTATAAAAGGGGGTCATCTAGTTGTAACATTCTTATCTGATTTTATATTGTAGATATTACATATTTGTTTTTATTTATACGTATGTGTACGTTTAGCGTACGTGTGAGTAGTTTATATATATCTGGTCGGCTCTGTTAACTGCATACAAGTACACAAAAAGAATAAAGGAATAATAACTGTACATTAACGTGGTCACAATAAATTACGAACTGCAAGCTTGTGTAGGCTGAAAGAAGACGAACACGAAAGTGCAGTTAAATAATTAATTGTATGTCACCCACTAAATATACACGGTATTAATTTCTGATATGCATCCGAATAAATTTCAAAACTGTAGACTGATGTGGGTTGTCTGTCGTACCGTAGTGGGAACCAGACTCGTGCACGATCCTAATAAAAGTATCTAGTGTTATAAGTACTTCCTAAGAAGTTTTAATTATGGTTAGAAAAAGCATACGAGAAACTTTTTGGATGTTTGATATTTACGAGTTGTGGTGCAAATTCGGAAGATAGGGTGGAAGACTCCTCTCAGCCTTCTTACAGGGATCGTGGAGGGGATAATAAGAATTATCAGACATGGGAAATGAAGACCTCAGAAGAGTAGTGAAAGGTTAAAGGTGGAATATTATTATTACTGCGCCAAGATTAATTTTCCTGGCTGATCTAAGAAAATTGCAGGAAAACTTGGGTCAGGGCAGGAATCGAGTCTCTGGGCCCAAAATTTGCATATTATGTATCTCATTTCGTTTGGATGAAACTGAAAGTTAGTATTTAATGACTTCTTAATGGTATCTGTTTTGCAAAAGATACCTACAGTAGAACATTGATAACTTAAACCTCGATAAAGTAATAACCTCTTTAAATTCATAAAATTTTGTGCTCGCTTCCCCTCGGAGTCCAAAACCTCTATTAAGTACTTAAAATAAAAACCCTCTATAACTTGAACGAATAATTTGCGCATCGCACCTCAGTAAGCAGTGAAAAGTGGTTTGAATCGGGAGAAAGTCTTCTATGTAAAAGAAAAAGAATTGCTGAATTTCTCAATTTAGAAAAATGCTTGTTTATACGGTTTAGACGGTGTAGAAATAAAAACATTAGTGTTACTGGACCTGTACTATAGGAAAAAGCTGAAGACTTTGCTAAGTCACTGGAAATCCATAATTTTAAACGTTAAACTTAAACCCTTAGTAATAATACTCAATAACTCAAATTATTTTACGTTTCCCTTGGTCTTTATCTTATCGAGATTCTACTGTATTTACAAATTGAAGAAATAATCACATTTATTATTGTTTTTCTATAATTTGGTTTTCCGCATTCAATTTAAATGATAAGCGATTTTAGCTCAAAGTTTTGCAGTTTCTCTTTGCATACAATTGAACCTCATCTACTTTTTTTAAATTTCAATATTATAATATTTTATAAATAGAGCTTTCACTTACTATAGCGAATTTCCCACCGTTTTCCCACATTTTTGTCCAAGAATATTGTGTATAGGTACTAGAAACTTTAATCATTTTTCTGTTCTGTTTATTTCCAAAATTCTAAGTCATTTTCAGGAAACTACCCCTAAATTATCGTCAACTTCGTTCAAAATTATAAAATTTATGTTCTCTCTCAATCATATCTGTATTCATTTGACTAAAAAGAATGTTTTTCAACCTACGATTAGACACCTTTTTATTTTTATCTCTTCTGGAGTTGTTATCTTTATTGTTTCACGTGTTATAATAATTTCCACTGCTTATGAATACTGTAAGTGTCCACGCATTTTTTCATTTCGATTTTATCTTTATGTTTATGATGACAATATTTATTTTAACGGCTTTCTTTCTTTCTTTCCTACCATACCTTTTCGTATTTCTTCCTAGTTGTTGTTTATAATAGTTTAAGGCTGTTGTGAAATGGGCAAAGGTTATTATCTACTAATTTACCGAGTCTTTTTAACTTTCTCCGTCCGTCACTGATTACAAAACCCGAAAGCTTTTGTTAATATTGGCTTTTGTAACACCTTCAGGTCGATACCCTACTGTAGGTATGCTTTCATTGTGTACAGAGCTTTGACTTTACCTTAATTATTTATTGCCTTTGAGGTACATTAACCCTACGCGGGTGTAATTGCTAAAGGGAATTAATAACTCTACAACTACTTTTTTTCTGGAACAGTTCCTCGAAAAACTTAACGAAGATAACGATCTAATAATAAATTTATGGGCAGCTATGAAAAGTAAAACGTTATAAAAACACAATTACAGTTTCTTTTTGTGGCCATATATATAAATAGGTGTTTTCTTTTTATTAGAAAATTTCATCAGAAACGTGAAAACTTTTCTTCGTAGAGATCAAAATTGGGAAAATTGTGTTCTGTAAAATCAAAAAATCATCATTTTATTATCGTCACCATAGGGTCTTCAATCCGAACACTTCCTGTTTAATAAAAGCTATTCTGTATTTTTTATTTCAGCTGCTTTTTCTAATATCTTTACTTATACTATGAATCATTTTATACAGCTCCAAAATTTTTTACCTTATCGTTTATATTTCGGAATTCTTTAAAGATGCAATTTATAATGCATTGCTGAGACGCCTATACCTATATGCATACAGAAATAATGGTGATGCGTTTAGTGGGTTAGGTGGGCGAAGTTTTTAAAAAGTACGTACCTATTTCCTACTTACATGTTTATTACGATTGCACATTACATTATATTATGAGCAATTAATATCAATCTGGAACACCACATCTAGAGAATACTACTACTAGTAAAGTTAGTGGTACAACGACCTTATTAGGAAGAAAGTGCTTAATTTAGTCACTTTTGACTAATTTAACTACCAGGTCAATTTAAGACACTTGAATTGCTAAAACTGCTGGATGTTTACGTCAATAAATTGCTTTTTCAATAATTAAATAAATAATAATATGAAATATTATTCTGAAAATTCATTTGTGAATTTTTACCCACCACAAACTAACCTCAAATTAATGAGGAAAAATTTGTTGCTGTTGTCACACCCCCGCCGGGAATCGAACCCGGGCTCTTTGGTTAAAAAAACAACTTATTTTTCGCTTATTTTAAATAGCATTCATGAATTTCATACCAAAATGTCTATATGCTAACTAATTAGTTTATAAATTGATTTTCTGATGGTTTTTGAGATCAGTATTGTCATTTTCCTAAGTGTTAGGCACATTCAGTATATGTATATTTATGGATTATTACTTAAACTTAAGGGGAACACCGTACAAGAATGTATATTATGTATTACTGCTTTATAGTACGACAATAAAATGATAAGAAAGCATGGGCTGTGTCAACAGAGCTTTTAAGAAATAATTTCCGGGCTCCAACTTATCACGAAAACAGACAAGATAATTTCTTTATGTGAAAATAAAACAAGCACTTAAATACGAAGGATACTCGTGTCCAAACTTTTAAATCGGTTTCATTTTTAATATTAAAAATTGATGGGAATTTTTATCAAGCAATTGTCGAAATATATAGTGGAAACCAAAGAACTGCAGTAATACTTTTTTGGTAGTATATTACATATTTTACGTAAGACAATTGAAAAATTCCCAAAAAAGTAAATTGTAGCTACTACAAATGATCCTGTAAGAGTTCAGTTCTTCCTAATGCTAAAAGTATTCGCTAAAGATTTATTTTTTTTTTTAATTACACCTCCACAACTACCTACTTAAAGTGTTCGAATTCCGAACACAAAATTATTTTCATTTAGTAACAGTTACGTTTCAATTTAACAATAGCTCCATAATTCATTACCAAACTCATTGCATGTTGCATGTTCCATTTATGCCTTACAGTTAGTTACACGATAGGTATCAAATAATTGTACGTACGTATTATACGTATTAACACCAGTTTCGTCTCTGGAACACTTTTACTTTCGAACTCAAAGGAAATGAAACACAATTCTCTTGCACTGTTATTAATAATGTTATCGTTTCATCGTGGAGACATGCGATACCTGTTATGCATACTGGTGAATTATGAGAAAGAAGTCGCTCGTTTGGAACCAGAAATTGCTTATGGGAAAATTGAAATGAGTTCACGATGTTGCTTATAAATACGAAGAACAACCAAGAGACATTAGTCGATTTCAGTAATTTTTAAAGACTGTTGGGGAAGATTGAAGAAAGCGAGTGAGAATGAGGGTCGAATATAATTAAGAATTTTTTTTTTCAGAGTACGCAACCCATCGAGCGATATTTTCAACGTTTTGTGTTCACCATCATCAGGAAATTCAACCCCCCAGAGAAATGGTACACATACTCCGCGTCGTACTCATATCCATAATGACTCTTTCAATCGTCTCTTTGGAACCCCCGAACAGGGATCTAGTACACCTCGTAGGGCTTCATTCAATAAGCACGGTAAGTTGGCAAATAAACAAAAAAAAAGAACGATAATACGTTCGCTGACTGCACCACAGGCGCAGTTGAACGCGTCGATATCCTAGAGGATTAGCGCTGCAGTGGTTCTGTCTGCCCAAAGGATTACGACTACCCTGAAAACGAAATAAAATACTTCTGTCGTTTAGAGTTAAATTCTTATTTTCCATTAAAATTTTCTGCACGATTTATAGAAATGTAAAACAAACTGATTTTATTTTCGGTTTCCACTTTTTGTATGACTCGAACTTTACTTACTTTTGAAGAAATAAAAAGTAGTTTTTGTTTTGTCTTGTATTCTCGAATTTGTAGATACGTTAGAGGAAATGCGACCTTATTTAATCGTACACAGAAAGAATAATTTTTGGGGTTAAAATTTAATAATTTTGCCATCCTTTTATTTCAGATGTAACCAACAGAAACCCAGTTACTGGTGACGGCGTCACTTCCTGGGATCAGAAGAAAATTTCTCCGAAAATGCGCACTGGTTAGTAGTGAATTAATGCGTTATATTTTAATTATAACTAAATTGCTTACACGAACGAAGTTTGTTATAATGTAATGCAATTATTTTTTCATTGCTTGGCAAATGCAGCAGACACTCGATAGTGTGAACATCGCATAATGGAAACCCCGCATATTGTGGACGTATTATCCTATAAATGACCACAGTATACTGTGATCAAACTAGACGTTCGGTTATAGATACGAACGGCCAGTGACCTTAAAAATCGATATTTTGCAGTTGACATTGCGTCATTTTTGTTAATCCCCGATATACATATTTTGGTACTTCCCAGTCGTATTAACTGTAAAAATGTCGTGAGTTCGTTAATATTTGATAAATTCCTGTTGCACTTTAGTGTATTGTGTCACACTATCGAATCTTTACTGCAGTCCTACTATAACTTAATTTCAAAATAAATAGAAACATTTATGAGAATTATAAAGAACAATAATGCATTGCTGAGACGCCTATACCTATATGCATACAGAAATAATGGTGATGCGTTTAGTGGGTTAGGTGGGCGAAGTTTTTAAAAAGTACGTACCTATTTCCTACTTACATGTTTATTACGATTGCACNACGATTTTGTATTAAAATAAGGAACAACTTTTGTTTGAAAAATTCTTCGATTAAACTTATAGTTTGATTACAGTGAGCACATTGAGTGCTTTTTTGGATCACCCAGTATATAATATTTATTTTATCAATCTTCTTTTTGTTTTAGAACGCAACCCCGTAACAGGCGAGTATTACACTATTGTTAGTCCAGCAACTACCCCTACAAAGCCAATGCAAAACGGTTTCTCTCAGCAAAACGGTCACGATGCCACCCCTCAACAGAACGGCACCAAGGAATCCACCCCCGAAAAGATTATCGTCAACGGAAGTGCATAAATATCGCGTTCTCAAAAAAGAAAAAAAAAAATGAAAACCCTCTGCACTACTTGAATTTCCTTTAGAAGTAACTAAGGCTAACTTTGGCCCATTTTTTTACTATTCACCAAAGAAAAAATGGTTATTAAGCCAAAGTTTGCTTAATCGCTTCGTGTAAGTTGCTTACTTTTCATTTCTTGATTTTTATTAAAGATTAAATTTTTTATGAGATTTGTTTGCCACACCTACCTTTTGTTTCTACCGAAACTGAACCGTAGGACGACAAGGAAAAAAAATGTTTGCACGTTAAATAAAAAATTAAAATATAAACGTTGTTCTCACAATAAAGCAAAACCATTTCGAATTTGGATGTTATGAAGCACTGATACTTTCTTCTAACAGTTACGTCATTACATATTAGTAAGATAATTTGCATTTAATAAACTACTAAAGTTAAATGTGTAGGAACTTGTAGGGGGCTACGTTTGCATGTCTTTCGTTTCGTTTTATTCAATGTGTGACCTATGAAGCATTTTAATTGTACTTTGTTTTTTTTTTTATTACTGTTACAAAATAATTGATAATGATTTACATGTGAACAGTCCCATTTTCTTTGTATGATGTAGATAAGTATAGAAACTTAAATTTTAAAGTACATATATACATATATTTAATTAAGAATTTCTAGCAATAAATTTTATAGCGGGATATTTTTTGTTTTTTTTTTTTTACCGAACATCTTTCGAACTATTGATGAGTAAATAAACCCTGAAATTACATCAAACGATAAAGAACCCTTAATAAGCCATTCTGTTTCGTATTTTGAAAATGCGTTTTTATAACTTTAATAATTGTCGATTAAATTGGTGTATTTCGTTACTGAGACATTCATCAATCAATTTATTAAAAAGTAAAAGTATTGTTTCTAAAAAAACACACTTGAAGCGCATAAAAATATGTTTTCGAAAGTAATTAAAAAATGTTTCACTAAGAGATAACAGACGCGAATTGATTACTATTATGTACTTAAGATTGTATATATTACAATATTTCACTAATAGTTTTACATCTTTTGTCTTAATTATAAAATTTCCAAAAATTCATACTTCGTATAAAAATTTCATGTCTTATTGCGCGCGTTTTCGTCAACCATCTGTAAGCCTTCTTACCAGTGGTCCCGCACTCTTTTTTTTTAACGTTGTATAATACCTAAACATTTAATTTAATGTACTGTACATACGACTACGTAAACACCAATTCCGAATTCCTATTAAGACTACGAATTTATTGGCGCTTTAACCTAAAAAGACAATAGAAATAATAAAACTTGATGCTAATTACAGTAACTGTACTTTAATCATTCCAACTGATGATTATAAACGACACAAAATTTGAGTTTTTAAGTAAACAAATTTCCCCCCTTAATATTCAAATTCATCTAACTCATCATCTCACGTGCAGATGGTGCTTACCGTAATTTCTTTAATCTATGATAAATAATCATCATAGATAATATAATCACGTAACGTCAAAATAATGTCAATATCGTAGGTTGTAATTGTTTTTTCTCTTTAATAAATTATTGCTTATCGTGGAAACATGCGGACTTTAGCACTTGGTTAAACCTTTAGTAAATGTACTATTGTGTATTATAAAAAAAACATTCACAGTTAAAAACGTTCACTTGGTGTTGAAGGTTTTCGATTTCTTTATTGGTTGTATTGCGACAAAGAAATATGGGTAATAGGGCCTCTGTTCTTCTTAGAGAAGAAGAAATCGCTCAAATTCAACAAGAAACTGAATGTAAAAATAATATCAAACAATTTAAATGTTTATTTTAATAGTTTCCTTTTTCGTTTCAGTTACTCCAAATCAAATAGAGAGGTTATATTCACGTTTCACGTCTTTAGACCGAGGTGACTGTGGGACATTGAGCAGAGATGATTTCTTACGAATACCGGAACTAGCAATCAATCCTTTAGGAGAAAGGATTGTTAATTCTTTCTTCCAAGATGATGGTTTCAATGATCGTGTAAACTTTAGACAGTTTATGCGTGTTTTGGCCCATTTTAGACCTGTGAAGAAAAATAAAGAAAATAAACTAAACTCTAGGGTGCAGAAATTAAAATGTAAGTAGGTTACCTACGAGTAATTTAATTATTTCTATTGTTTATATATAGTATGAGACGTATGAAATGTAAAATGTCTTACTTCTTTTCCATTTTAGTTGCATTTAAAATGTATGATTTAGACAATGATGATATGATATCTCGAGATGAACTTCTTGCAATCTTACATATGATGGTTGGTGCTAATATAAGTGAAGAGCAACTCACAAGTATTGCAGAAAGGACAATTTTGGAGGCAGATGAAGACAAAGATCAAATGATATCCTTCGAAGAATTTTGTAAAGCCCTACAAAGAACAGATGTGGAACAGAAAATGAGCATCAAATTCTTGAGTTAAGAATAATACTTTAATACTAAGAAATCTTGTTTTATGGTAAGTAATTTTTATTAAAATATTTTACTCTTTTTTGTATATACTTGTTTCTGTATATGTGTTGGGCAAAAATATAATTGTTTTAATTGTATATTTTTAACAGGTTTGATTTTATGGTGAAGTATATTTAAAAAGTTTAATAACCAGAATCAAAGTATTGATTTACTAACCTGTATGAATTTAAAGGATATACTTTTAAAGGAATATAAATAGTCTAGTTTACTTTTGCCCTGTCATTACCATCATTATAAACTAATATCATCTCCAAAGACTTTTTATTTGTTTAAGTAAATTTGAAAGTATTAATTGAACTTAAGGATAACTTATTTGGGAATCAATATGTTTGCAACACTAACTTTTTTATTATAAAACTTACACCTAAAAATATACATAGCAAAAATTATAGTTTACAATAATCATAAATTGGCTACATTTTACATTATTATTTATGCTGTTGAAGATACTGCCAGCTTTTTTAAATGATCCATAAATATTTGCAATGATACATCATCAGTGAGTACTGGAGCTCCAGAGTCCTGTAAAAATAATACAGCAATAAACACAATAATTTTTTTATTTCTCCCTAATACTTATCAACGAAATAATGCATCAGAAGGCGATTCAAGTAAAAATCAACCGTTTCGCCCTTCGATTTAGAATTTTGCAGTTTAATTACCTTGAAAAGGCCCTGAACGAAAGGGCGAAACGTTGGTTGACTGAAAATAAAGACTGATTCTTACCTGAATCAAGTTCTAATAGATCATTTCATAACAATTTAGGGTTTAAGATAACGTCGATTTTTGAAATGAATACTTACTCCCCCATATGAATACATATTATTATGCGTTTGACTTGGATTTACTTTGGATAGTAAAAATCTCGCTTGAGAACCTCCTTGTTCCGTATCAATGTATCGGGGCATTGGGAATCTAGTTTGCAAAATCTCTTGGGCATCGTCAACCGGTGCTTGTAGAAGTTGTCGGAAGTTTTCGTATTCGGGCATGTCCTGGTACTTCAGGCTTCTCCATTGCGCTATTGTCTGATAAATGAAAATATTTTGTAATAATACAGAATATAATTTAATCGTATATCACAAATATAAAAGTTGGGTTAAATCAGTAGTACCTCTCCATGGAAAATCAAAATCTGGAAAAACGTGTCCATCAGAAGGATTCTGTCAGGTTGAATAGAGCTGGTGTCCAACAACACTGGTTCAGGAGGCCCATTAAAACTATAGCTGTATAAAATTGGTTGAATCATGATCAGAGACTGTGTAAGATCTTCTCGCATTAGCATATGTCGATAAAAGGACGTTTCATCGGGCGAATTATTAAACACTTGCAAAAATTGAGATCTACGCAGATGGTACATGAACTGAGGATACAAACTAAAGTTCTCACTAAGCCGGAAACTACCCGGATCGTCCTTATTATATTCTCCAAATTTTTGACACTGCAATAAAGATTTTATTAATAATCAGTACAGCAGCATAATTAAGAAATTTATTTAGTAACTGTGATACTTACTAATCGTATCAACATCCTGTCTACCCATCGAAGAACGTCGGGTCCATCGTCACTTTCGGCCCGATATACAACCATCCGAGCCATGAGGACGGCCGCAGCCTCTTGGTCGAAACCTGCACTTATGTGATGTAAATTTGTAGCTGCATCAGCCCAGTTACGTGCTATCGTGGTAACCCTTATTCTTTTTTGGCCACTGCAATGCTGGAAAATGAAAACGCACAATATTATAATTCCATACTTGGTAAATTAGTTAACACAAAAATACCTGATATTGCGTAATGAACTGTACACAGCCCCGACCGCCTTGCGGTATAGGAGCAGAGTGCTGATTAACCACCTCAAAGAATAAAGCAGTTGTGTTATTAGGCATCAGTGTACACATCTTCCATTGTACAGTGTTGCCCATCCCTATCTCTGAATCTGCCACCAATGGGCTCTTTACATTTAATGATACACAGGCACCTATTGCACCTTGAACTAAAACAAAGTAAAGAATAATAAATAAAATCAGCAAAATAATATTATATTTACCTTTTAATTCTCGTGAACATTTGACTTCCAAAACAGCATTAAAAGCCATCTTAAGATCACCTTTTTGATCACGAGCAAACACCCTTTGAAATGTCTGCTTGAAGAGGGATGAATTGAACGAATCTGCCATCACCATGTGGCCCCTAAAAAATACAAGAATTTGTTTAGAAAAAAAAACATGAAGACCCTACTGTTTCAAAAGTTTACCCCGTCGAATTACAGCATTGCTTCATTTCCATAAGGCCTGTTTGATCCAAAGCGCATGAGTAAATGTCCACACAATGACTATTAGTGGCTGCACGCACAGCAAGACCTTCATAGTGCTTAATAGCTTTTTTCATATATCTAGCATTGTCCTTGTGGATATCATGATGAGATCTAATTAACACAAAGCATGCATTACAAGAAATTAATTATAACAGAATAAATGTCTCACCTAATGGGTTGCTTCAAGTCATCATTAACAACTTGACCAGGTCCTTGAGAACATGGGCCACCCAAAAACATCATAATACGAGCTCCAGTGTTTGGATAGGTGCATTCTAAAAGTCCCACAGCAATTGAAAGGGCAGCACCGGTTGAACGAAGTGGTCTTTTTCCTTGAGGCACAGGCCAAGGGTCTCTTTGTAATTCCCCAATCAAGTCTGTCAAGCAAATGTCACAATTGGCAATAGGTTGAAGAAAACGACTTGATGGGGGTGCAGCTGGTGGATGAGGACCTCCTCGCATTTGAGGCTGCTGCTGATGAGGAACTGCTACAAATATTTATATACACATTAATCTGCATCTATCATCTTCCTTGTGTTTTACATTTACCAGCAACTTTTGTTAGTCCCAACATTTCCTGAATCTGTTTAGCAGTGAGATCCTTTGTTCCTCTAAATACATATGACTTACTACAACCTTCTGTACCTAATTCATGTACTTGAACCATTTTACCAAAAGTTATTAAGCCAATCAATGCATTTGAAGGAAGTAAACTGAGTGACATTTGTAGGGAGTCTTTAAGAGCTCCTAGTTCCTCCTCATCCATGCATGTGTCTACCACATATAGAAAAATAGGAGGAAGACACTGGGCTCTTGTAATTGTATACTCAATTGTAGAAAATGTAGGCATTAGTTCTGCCGGTTGGTGCTGTTCTGAAATAGCAGCATATTGGGGAGGAAAGGGATTCCTTTGAAAGCAGAAATTGCAAACCTGAGAAGAATTTTGTTTTATCTGTGGAATTATTTTAAAAGTACAATAATCTTACCCACAACTTTGCTCTATAATCAACTTGACACAAGGGATTTAAAATAGCCCGACAATTATTCCTAGTGCAAAGAACAGGATCATATTGAATTGGAGGTAAATCAGGACGCTCCTTAACAGGCTGATAAAGGCACCCTAAAGGAACCACCAAACGAGCAGCCTCGATTCTACTGGAGGGCCAGACATTCCAAGTGAAACGTATTCCGTCTCTATCTTCATTTTGTTGTATATATTCTTCAAAAGTAGCCATTGCAATCGATTATTTTTACTGTCCGAAATTATTTTCCACTAATTCAATGAAGTCTAATAACGTTTTTATAATTTAGGCCGTAAAAAGACAAAACCACTGCAAGACTAAACACTTCCACGTCACTTTTGAATAATCTGGCAATTAGGTTAATGAATTCTGACATTTCTATGGATGCATACGGAATTCAAAGAGAACATCGATTAAAAAGTCTATGGAAGTGAGAATATTTATTTAATGAATGTTGACTTGGTTTTGAGTTTTTTATCTATGCTCTTCTTCTTTTACGGTTATCTATATGTCCGCAGCATAAATTGAAAAAGGATCATCATTTCTGTGATTTGTCTGCCGTGGTAGCCCTCGTGGATTTGGCTGCAGTTGATTAAGGTGAGAATGCGTGACATAATATTAATTGCTCTTTATTAATCTTTTATTGCATTTCTTAATAATTTTTTCCAACAGCATGAATTGAGATTAAAGTGAATGTATGGCATTTTAACAATTATATATTATTCCAGAAGATGTTGTGCATCTGTGGTTTTGCCCTTAACAAATGTCTATAGTCCATACCATAAATTGATGTCATTCATCTATGATTGTCATTTATGTAAATTGACAGTTATCGCCATTTTATAATTCAGATATTTTACTTGCTTTTTGCTACATATTTTTAGCTGTGTTAATGCTTAATCGTCAATTAATAGTGTAATTAATATATTTTTTGTTGATTTCTGCAGATTGCCCAACAAACGAGAGAATTACAATTCAGTTTGGTCCCACTGAAACAACTAATGTCTACTGGGGTGTGGTCTTTCATGGACTATATTCTTGATTTGCTGATTTTGTCTTCGCCTTGCAACATTTTTCAACTGACTAGTGAGAACAACTGGAGATTTATTGGAGTTCCACTAAAACAACAAATTTTCTGCTATGATATTCCTTCTGGATTTGGTTTGCTTTTCACACATGCAAACTTTGGAATGTTACAGTTAATTAAGGTGAGAATACTTGATATAATTAACTTTAATTGCTCATTATTAATCTGTTACCACCGTATCTGTTTCAGATCGACGTTGGAGAAGACAAAGATGACCCCATAGTTGAAATAGTTCTTTTGTCTTGCATGGTCTATATAGTAGAATTCATTAAGTTGATTTTATTCAAATTAATTTTTTATTTTGCATGTTTTATGTAGTTAATTTGAATTAGTTTTTATTTTGCATGCTTCATTTTATTTGAATTAATTTTTGATTGTAGATGTTTTTATTTTTTTAAAATAGTAGTAGTGTAGTAGTAATACTTACTAATCCGTTGAGTAGTTGTAGTATAGTCTAATATGTCTCTTGCTTACCTCTTCGCTTAGCTTACTGCATATTCTTACTATAAATTGCTTTGCATTTACCCTACGAGTTCTACATGATTCAACGTTTCGTTATCGTGTGTGTTTCTTCTCACCCTTGTGGAATTAGGGAGGGCCTCCCCGAACGACTTCCCTTGGGCTTAGCTATTTAGTTGATCTTAAAAGTGTCTTATACACTTTTCGCGAGTCTACTCTAGCGTTACTTCCTTTCAGACAGGGTACAGTGGGTTATCTGGA